AATTTGAGATACTACCTGTATAGTATACATCTATTGCGCCGGTATAAAAAGGGTATATTAAAATGGTATACGTCTAGTGCGCCGGTATAAAAAGGGTATATTAAAATGGTATACATCTATTGCACCGGTATAAAAAGGGTATATTTAAAAGGTGTACATCTATTGCGTCAGTATAACAACTATACAGTACAAGTAAAAATCATAATGGCTAAAAATAAGAATTAAAGTTAAAATCAAACTTATCATTTTACATACTTGGTATTTACACTAATATTATAATATATATATATATATATATATATATTTACATTAATTCTACACATTTTTAAAAGTTCTTAGGTCTAATATTAAAATTAGTTTTGTCTATCTTACTATTTATTTTTTTGTCATAAATTTAGAGTTTGGTCTATTTTTGATATCTAAGAGAACACATATTAATATTATTGCATTAAATTATTTTTAAAACTTCATAAAAAACTAGAATATTTGGATGGGGTGAATAAAAATATTTCCGAAACGCTGAGTGAAATGCCTCACAGGCATTTGTTGTTCTTTCGCCTGATATGTTACGCAATGAATAAAGATACGGGGGAAAAGTTGCATTTTCATCAATATATGTATCAATGAGGTAATCGCAAAATGTATTAACGCAAATATCGATCGGCACAATATATGTATAACCAGGGGCGTATTTAGGGGGGGGAGGTGATATGAGTGTTGGGACACCCCCCATCGACCGTATTTTATGGTATTTCTACCAAATTGCAAACTTAATAACAGTATAATTTAACTAAATATAGGTATATGTAAATATAATCATTTTCATTAATATAATAATTTATATAAATACATGATATTTATAAATGTAAGGAGTATGGGAGGGGACAGAACCCCCACTTACTATAAGTCTATTAAATTTTAAAACATCCCCGTTAAATGAATCCTGGATACGCCACTGTGTATAACTATAAATTATACCCTTTTTATACCGACGAAATATGTATACCTTTTTTCCACCCTATAATTTTTCTTTCTTTACCTGTGATTTTCGGCGCAATTGGTATAAAGCCGAGATAATTATGATTGTGACTCACTTAAAGAATACTATAGATCAGGGGTGACCATTTTGCAGCTGGCGAGCAACATGTGGCTCTTGTTATTTTTAGATGCGGCTCACATTTTATTTACAAAACTAAAATTTACTTATCATGTTATTATTATTTTGGATTTTAATTTTATATGTTTAAATTTATAAAATATTATCAAATCACTTAAAATTTATCTGTATGTATTTTGTATTTGACTCTTGGAATTATTATATTTATCCGTGTGGCTTGTGAACTTATTCATGTTTGCTACTCCTGCTAAGAAGCATCGATATTTGTACCTTCGATAGACAGTCTCATTATAAATTTAGAAAACCACTTTAAACAAAATATTGTTGTTTTGTCGTCAATTGGAATACTATTGCCAAAATTTGCTATAAACGAAAATGTTTCAAAATTAAAAAATCTAGACATATTTTACGAATATCTTATATTTGAAAACGTGATGGGGTCTGAATTTTTATTATGGTATGAAAAATGGGTAAATGTAGAAAAAGCACCAACTGAAATTCTTTTAATAAGAAGTTTTACCCGAACATACTTTTTTATTGTGTATCATTTTTGGCAACACTACCAGGTTCTACAACAGCAGTTAAACGTTCATTTTCAACACTAAATTGTTTAAAAAAATGACTACATAATAAAACTGGAAATTAGTGTTTATCGAGATTTATTCCATCAGTATTATTACCCATCAGTACATTGGGAAGTGTCTATCAACAAATGAAATAAAAGATATAATGGTTCAAAACAAAAAAAAATAGGAAATGTATATAGTAAATATTAGTTGAAATTATTTAATAACTATAGATTGTTTTGTATTACAAAAGTTTTAATTTCTCAGTTTATAAAAAAAAAAAAAAAATGTATTGAATATCAATCATATGTAAAAATTGTACTAAAATTTATTTCGACCCCTCCCCCAAATCCTGGTTACGTACCTAATAGACTTCATTAAATATTTCCATAACTTATAAAACTGTTGAAAACAATTTCATATATTTTAACGTATTATACAAGATTAATGATTATATTATGCTTTATTAATGATTTTGTAAAGATTTTAAAATTTTAAAAGCTATGGTATTTTTATTCATCAATTATGACAGTGAAATAATAGAATAATTGAAGCATGTTAGACAATTGCCTTATATTATTAGTTTTAGACAAATTATTTAACTTATAAAACTGCTTATAATAATTTTTTGTAATTGTCACTCACGATTAATTTATACGCACTGATTTCAACGATTATAATTAAATATTAAACAGAGCGTATCATCATATGCCGCATATTTAATTATAACAACTTATTTTTTTCATTAACATCTATGTAGCAAAGTCAGTATTTTTTTAATTTTTAAAACGTTCAATTTTTTTTTTTTTTTTTAGTTTTCTCAATCTAGATTTTTAGTTCAAATTTAATGATCTGAAATAATAAAATATAAACAAAAACCAACAAAAATATAATTTGTTTTGTCTAATATTATGTATAAGTAATTTTGTATTCGTCTTATACCTATTATACATATAATTTTCTCATTGTTAGCTCTAATATATTTTACGAAATAATAATAAACTAATATATTATATATATTAAACTTCGACAGTAACAAGTAATATATTACAATAGTTATGATACGATTTAGTGTCATGATAAATTAAGTGAATACAAAATATACATATAATATAAAATGTTGATGAAAGGTGGAATAATCATAAAAGTTGATAGGTTCAATTAATTAAATATATTGATTTTGATAATATAGTAGAGCATAATTTATAGAACGTATAAAAGATTACAGAAAATATTATACAAATATATTTCAATAATTTTAATATTATTTAGATTTTAATAATAATATTATTTTAACTGTGGTTTAGGAAGATTTTAAATGTTAAAAATTAAATTGAATTATATCATTAAATATTCTATAATAAATAAATATATATGATGCTATTATGATAATACGTTAAATTAACAAGCATATGTTTATAAGCAATTTTCATTTTCCTCCAAGCTTCTTTAAAATATAGATCCGATTAGATTAATAATTTAAATAAATTACTATTGAAACAAATAATATTTTTGGTCATGAAATTCTTGTTATTTATTGCTGTTATTTCCTGTTAAATGCCAGTGTCTAAATTAACCAAAATAAATTTCATTATAATATATAAATATATATTATAATGAAATTATATATATTATGTATATTATATATATATATATATATATTATGTGCTATAATTCCGTAATGTTCTTTTGTTTTTTCAAAAAAAATGTTTTCAGTACCAGAGAGATTTTTGAGATAAATTGTCAATTAGATGAGATTTCCAATTAGTATTAAATATTAATGAATAAGGTATATTATATTTGTTTTTCTAAATAACTAATAATTTATATGCTTGCAACAATATTAAATACACTTATTTTTATCAGTATCTAAAATAGCATTTTTTAAATCAAATTGAATAAAAAATATCAACTTATCTTAATGATTAATTTCAAAACGCACTATATACAAGAACATTAATTAAATACGTTTAATTTAATAGTTCACTTTAATTACGGAAAAAATTGAAATAATTCAGAATATAATTTAAAATATTAATCATAATTTACGTTAAAGTCAGGTAAAATATTATAAACTAATCATGGATGTATTACTGCATGTTAACTGTAACTGTATTACCGACAATGATCGTAACTTAAGAAAAGCTATTATAAAACTGACGTTTCTTTAATAACGAAAATAATATACAATTATATATATATATATATATATATATATATACATACATATTGCATATCAAGTGAAAATCAATCTGTCACTATATACACACCTCCTACACGTAATAATTATATAATAAAAGCATTCGGAGATATTATACGTCGTATCAAATTTCCCATCAAAATAATATTATATATCTCTCTTACGCTTTATAACGCTATAATGTTATATGAAAACGAAATTGACTTATTACATACAAAAAGAATAAAAAAGTATTAAGTTTGTAACCTATAAATTATTTAGATTACGGAAAGAAATGATAATTAATAATTAATATTAAAACAAAGGAATATCGAATGATACTTACTCATGAACGTACTCGTAGCGTAGTTGTTAATATTAGTGCAGTTACAGTGGCGTATTGGAGCAGATCAAGTGACAAATTTTATTCTAAACAATTTTCCACTGACTTACATATTAATTTTTTTTTAGTTCTATATTTTACAAAAAAAATTACCAATTAATATAAGTATTTGATAAATGAAAGTTCTATAGTATGTCCAACATGGTCATAAAATACAATATTTGGAGTTCTTCTTAAAAAATATTTATTGTTGCGATCATTGATTCACATAACATTGTTATCATAGCTTATTATCTTAGAACTCTCAATAGTTTTCAATCGTCGTTGGCTATACTACTATGTATAAATAATACTGGGAATCTACTTATGTTATCCCTACTCGAATGATTTCTTACATTATCACCTGCACGCAACTGACGTGAGACAATGCGATTCCGTCTGATGTGCCTAGCACAGTAGGGTCTAGAATATTTTTGTTCGAATTATATATTAAATAAATTTCTGTAACATGGGTCGTTTTCTACGGTACAAAATATGGGCCTATTATATTCTGAAAATCCATTTAAATACACCATAGAAATCATATACATTTTTTCGTTTTTGGTACGAACCGATTCTACAGTATTTGTTTATATAAGTAACTAATTTTGTTACCCTAATGAATAATTCAATTCAATCAAATTTCATAGTACTAATTTTACTTTTAATAGTTTGTCGTCGTGTACGATTTTTGGTCCTGCTATGGAGTACAATAATAACGTACGCCATTTTCAATAATATCGTTTCGTTTCGCAGCTGGTGCAGAGCACGGTCAGCGTAGGCGGCAGTCCCAGCGATATTTGGCCGCTAGAACGGCCCGACGGCATGCCGGTGATCCAGTCGCTGGAAGTGATGTGCGGAAAGGATCACATGGACGTGCATCTACAATTCACGCAACCGTTCGAGGGCATCGTATCGTCAAAGGGCCAGTACGCGGACCCACGTTGTGTATACGTGCCGCCGTCTACTGGAAAGACGTTCTTCACGTTCCGCATAGCGTACGCGCGGTGTGGCACCAAACCCGACCTCAACGGCCAGTTCTACGAGAACACGGTCGTTGTCCAGTACGACAAGGATCTGCTGGAAGTGTGGGACGAGGCCAAGCGGTTGCGGTGTGAGTGGTACAACGACTACGAAAAGACCGCATCCAAACCACCTATGGTCATCGCCGACCTGGACGTTATACAGTTAGACTTTAGAGGTTAGTATGTATATCACTGTTATTGTTAGTCACAAAGATTTGAAAATATTAATTTCGGTCCTACGATATTAAAAAATAATCGACAACCAAATTAAAATAAATAATCTCAAACCCCCTATAATTATACTTTTTTTTTCAGAGAACATTTTAAATTAAATTTTGATTTAAAATTGCAATCTCATATCACATGATATGCTTTTGTTTAAATGCATAGTTTAAATCCCTAGAATAAATAAGTAGGGAGAGTAACCCCCTCTAATAATTAACATACCTTGTTTTATAATAAGTATAAAACAGCTGGTTATAGCTATAATATATAGCTATATAACACATTTTTTTTTAAATCTTAATTTTAAATTTTCGCTTATCCAACATAATGTTAGAAAATGAATAATTTTATATAATAATAAGTAGGTAGTAAATTGGCGTTTAGCCTCGAACAACCTTTTCGTTAGATATATAATTATATTTTTGCCCCCCCCCCCATAATAAATTTCCAAGTCATAGCCTATGGTGTGGGTTATCAAATAAATGGGATCAGTAACCGGGTTATATATCTATGGTTACATGATTCCTATATTATCATCATTCATGTCTTAATTCAGTTTTATCTGAATACTTGTAGTGGAGTAATTCATTGAATCGAGATAAATCACTGAATCGAGATGAATCACTGAATCGATTCATTTAAGTAAATTGAATCAAGAGAATCAATTCACTCAGCTGATTCATATTTCCCATCCCTACTTAGTAATATTGATCACCTTAAACTAATTTATAACAAAATGTAATGTTAATATATATTTACAAGTAAGAAATGTAAGATTAACTATTTAGACTAGTTGACTTGTAATTATGTATTTTCCCCCTAATAAAATTTCAAATTACGGTCATGATACCTTACATTGTTATATATTAATTAATAGTACATATACTGCGTATAGTAACTGATTGTAAATTAATCAAATATTTTTGTATTTAAAAATCTAGGTGACAATGTCGATTGTTGGATGGAAATACAACACGGAAAAGGCCCTTGGGCTCCACCCGTCAGCGGTATAGTGCCTTTGGGATCTACATTAACGTTAGTTGTAGCCATCAATGATTATAGAGGTAAAAACATAACATACACGAAAATAAATATTTATAATAATATTAAAAAAAATTCATACAAATTATGTATGATACAAAAAATAAACCAAGTGTTCAAAAAAGATTGAAGAAATTAACATATCTTTGCATAATTATTTTTAATGTCTATTATATCCATACATTATTACTGAGGGTTAAAAATTGCATTATATTTTAACATTTTATTTTGTTACTAATCGAATATTTAGAAACAAAATTTGAACTTAAAAAAAAACAAATAAAACTTTAATTCAAATATGATATTTGTAAATACTAGATTTATGGAAAGCTAGAAACTAAGAGAATCATTTGCATATAATAAAATGTACGTCTTGTGTTACTATTTAAGGTCCCATACTGAATTCTCTACTCAAAATGTATGATTGCTTTCGATCAACATATTATACTTCAATCTAAAATAGTGACTGGTATTTAGTGTTTTCAAATTATAAATTTATGAAGGTCTGATTTATAAGCTATATAGAAATAGAAATATCTCGTTATAACAGTTTAAATGCACACAATATACAGAGTTTTTCTGAAATGGTAGAGAAAACTAGTATACGCTTGCTTTTTGGACTGGCCAAATGAAGAATGTTTTGAAATTTTTTTTATATTTTCAAAACATGAGTTGTATCCAATTATCTTTAGAACATTATTTCGAATCTAAAAATTATACTTCCAAGAGATTTCTTACAAATTTCTCATGTGAATCGATATGTAATATCGATTTTGGGATTGTCTAGCGTTTTTCACGCTTGAGTCGCCAGGATCAAAAGATGTAGTGTGACTTATCGATTTGTATGAGAACACTGCAAGATAAACAGAGATGACATTATTTGTTGTTACTTTGCATATCTGATTCATTAAAACGGTTTTCGTTGAATTTCAACTACATTTTGTTAAATTATGATTATTTTACAATAAATCAATAGAGAAAAAACAATTTCGAAACATTCTTCATTTGGCCACTCCAGAGAATACGCCTATACTAGTTTTCTCAACCATTTCAGAAACACCCTGTATATATTTATTGATATATGTAGAACATAATTAAATAATATAACTAACCAAAATCTACTTTTGCGAGAGACTTTACTGACACCGAAATTACAACTGCAATCAAATGCATGAAATCTGGAAAAGCAGCTGGCTTTGATGACATATACCCAGAATTCATAAAACATAGTGGTCCTAAAGTTAGAATATGGCTCTCAAAATTTTACTCAGACATCATAGGTAGCAACAAACTCTCAAGGTATTTCAAGAAAACTAAAATTTTAGCTATACTTAAGCCAGGCAAGCCAAGCAATGAAGTACAAAGCTACCGACCAATTGCCCTGCTTAGCGTCAGTTATAAGCTGCTTGAACGTCTTGTCTTCAATCGTATCTCTGACACAATAAATCAGGTCATCCCTATAGAACAGGCGGGTTTTAGATCAGGAAGAAATTGTTGCGACCAGGTTCTTGCATTAACCACCCGAATTGATAATGGATTTGAAAAACAGCTCAAAACCGCAACAGCATTCATCGATCTGACGGCAGCCTATGACACTGTATGGCGAGAAGGACTGATTACTAAATTTCTACGAATTATACCATGTCAAACTCTAGGTAAATTACTAAACAACATGCTAAGCAACAGACTATTCAAAGTGATCATTGATGATGCTGAAAGCAAACAAAAAACTTTGAACAATGGACTTCCTCAAGGCTCAGTGCTAGCACCGCTGTTATTCAACCTCTACACTTATGATATACCACCTACAGACTCTGGTAAATATATATACGCTGATGACATAGCATTGGTAGCACAAGCAAAAACATTTGACCTGTGTGAGACAACCCTAAATAAAGACCTAGAATCCTTAAACCATTATTTCAAACGCTGGAGATTAAAACCAAATCCAATGAAAACAGAGGTAACCTTGTTCCACCTTTGCAATAAAATGGCCAATCACCAAATCGACGTAATTTTTGATGGACAGGTGATTAAAAATAGCCGTTTCCCCAAATATCTTGGGGTAACCTTGGATAGAACCCTCACCTACAATGAACACCTGACAAAGACTGCTGCAAAACTGAAAACAAGGAACAATATCATCCAAAAACTAGCAAACTCAGAATGGGGAGCAGATAGCAATACCCTCAGAATATCAACAATAGCACTTACACGATCGGTAGCTGATTATTGCTCACCAGTATGGTTACAAAGTGCCCACACAAATAAAGTAGATACCCAACTCAACTCTGCTATGAGAATTATCACTGGAGCGGTTAAATCTACCCCCATAGATTGGCTGCCTGTACTCAGTAACTTATGTCCACCACACCTACATCGATACAATTCACTAATACGAGAATGGAATAAATGCTTCTCGAATACAATGCTCCCAATTCAAAACGACATAAACACTGGACCTAATATAAGGCTAAAATCAAGAAAACCTACTTGGAGGCTTGCCCAAAAATTAATATCAGGAAAATTCAATATAAACACAGAATGGAATAATGAATGGAAAAGCAATAATCCTGACAAACTCAACCTAATCAATAACCCAACAGAAGGAGTTCCGGGCTCTGACCTCCCGAGAAGAGATTGGGTAGCATTAAATAGACTTCGAACGGGACACGGAAGAACAGGACACATGCTCCACAAATGGGGACTAAGGGACTCGCCAGGATGTAATTGCGGACACAGAAAGCAAACTGCTACACACATTACTGATGAATGTACTATTCGCCGATTCCAAGGAGGAATGAAAGAATTACACAAAGCCACAACAGATGCAGTGCAATGGCTGAACTCCCTGGACATAAAGATTTAAATAAAGACCTATATATGTATTACCTATATAATTTGTTATCAATCAGCTATCTTTTTTTTTTTTTTTAATACTTGTACCTATTTTATACTATGTGAATTTTATTATGTCAAACCGTGAATGTTATATCTAAGCCATACGAAATAATAATAATAATAATAATTAAATTATGGCCATTTTACCTGTACAGGTGAATTCGATATGAGAGTAAAATCTTGCGCAGCATCCGACGGAGGTGGTCACGTTATTCAGTTAACTGACGACCAAGGGTGCGTGTTGCGGCCGAAAATGATTAGTGGGTTCTTAAAAGCTCGGACTTCGGATGAAAGAGCGTCTGTCATCACATATGCATTTTTTCACGCTTTCAAGTTTCCGGACGCACTTAGTGTGCACATCCGGTGTAAGGTGGAGATATGTCGTCACGGGTGTCTAGATCATTGTCAGACGGACGAACGGTCATCCACCGGACACTTGCTCCAACAGCAACCGCAACAGCATCAGCAGCAACTCCATTATGGACCAGTGGATAGAAAGGATCAGCAGAATGAACAATTGGACTATATACAATCCGTGGTCATCAACACGGACCAACCGAGCGCTCAAGCGCAGATGGCGTTACATTCTCCATTCGCAACCACAAGTCACAGCAAGCCGCAATCCCCCCAAAAGGTAAAATTAACTAAAATTAATATTTTCAGCCGATAAGATTCATATTTACTTTATTTAATTGGATTCGGGACTTGACCGATTATACATAAAAGTATGTATGTAAAATTGTATAAAATGACGGGGTGATATTTCTCTTATTTTATATAATTATAACTTAAATTTCTTATGTAGTATTAAAAAAACAATAATTGCAAATCATGCTTGTATTGAAATAGCAGCAAGAACCAAAAATATTTTTAAAAAACCACACAAATATTAAAAATTAATTTTTTTGATAATGATTAACAGAGCTCGGATTTAAATGCCCTAAAAATATAAAAAAAAATGCCCTTTCAAAAACTGGAAGAGTTAGTTTATCTATTTTTATCTATTTAGTTCAAAATGAAAATTATTTATATTACATAGTACAATGTTTATTCCAATCAATAAGTAGATTTTTTTTATCGTATTACAAAAAAATAAGTCAAAAATATCTTAATACTCGTAAATAAAAAAAGTGCATTAAAAACGTCAAAAATGCAAAAATTACCCAAAAAAATGTCGTAGTTACATGGAGTACTTGAAACACATGTGTAGCTTGGAAAGAATCGTGTAAGACATTCCAAAAAAAATATGCAAATGCATTGAAATCTGAGCTCTAATGATTAAGAAGGTTGTATGTAGAATTTTTATGAAACATGCATTAAACACAAATTTATTAAAGATTAATAATAATTATAATAGTTTTTTAGCAGCAATTAATATTTTCTAGTTTTTTCTTAATTTTTTGTGATTTTGAAGAAATTCAAAACGAAATAGTGTCTCTTAGGTATTTATATTTTGGATCTAATGTATAGTATTGATTAGATGCGACAAAAAAAGACATTCTTATTGATATGTTTTCTTATTCGTATTAGTGATGGCTTAAAAATAAATTGTAATGAATTCAAAACAACACTCTCTTGAGTATTTAAAAAAAGCCATTTTAAGAGTATGTATTTTAAAAATTCAGTAAATTTATGTAATCATATATATATGTATATGTATAATTATGTTCAAACTTAGGTGACCAAGGAGGCACAACAAATTTTTACATCATGAGAATTATTTTTTATTCGTCTCTTATGTTCAAAAACTCGCACTGATAGGAATATTTTATAATTAAGACCAAAATGTACAACCATTAGCATTTCAAAACAATAAAAATATATTTAAGACTAAAATAAAAACATATACTTACTACTTACAGTATTCTATTGGTACTGTCGATACCGAGTACGGACCACACGCATTTTTTTTTTTTATTTGAACATGATTTTGTTGAAGTCGCAGACCAACGAGGGGGGGGGGGGCTGTATTCACCCGGCTCCTCCCGTAAACACGCCTATGTATATAATCAATTTTCCACGTTGCAGGAAACGCCGTTGAACCGTGACGGTTTCCCGCACGGGCCACGTAACCTGGACGAACCTGCACAGGTGACAGAAACCGCGACAACCGGTGCGGACAACGATAGCGATGACGAGAAGCTAAAAACGTCAACCACACAACTCAACGGCACCATGGGCGAGACGACCGGATTTTCTCAGAGACGGCGGCGCCGACGATCCGTGAATGTATCGGACGCTGGCAATGCTGACGTGGGCGTGAGTGGTCTGTACGACGTCATCTCGCAGTCAGATTTGGCGTTCACTCCGGACACTCAGACAGACGGCGACGCGGTGACCATATTCCAGGGACGGATCCGCGAGGACGTAGTTTACGGCATATGCATGCCTGTCCACGGGTTTGGCGCACTGTTCGTCATGTTTGCCGGCTCGGCTATCGTGTCTGTCATCGTGGCAGGGTTCCAATTGCACAAGTACCAAATAAGGCGGGAGACGCAGAAGATCATGGCCGTCCAGGCGCATCAGCACATGCAACAGCACAACGCGGCCGCCAACGGCGGTTATATTCATAACTCACTGGCCGGCATCATGGCACTGAACAAACTACTTGCGTCCAAAACAACCACTCCTCAGACCAGACGAAATAGCTAATCAACAACACGCCGATTTCGCGTGTACGTGTATTATAATATATACTACATACCTACTTACGTGATTAATACAGTATTATTACGATTATGATTATTATTATTATTACTCTCGTTGGTGCACATAAAACGTTATTACTATAATATATTATTGCTATCATCATCATTGCGGTTTAAAGTCTTAAACGCTAAACCTTTTCGTAGGTACACGAAGTATACTTATATAATTAACCTATTGTATTTGGTCACTGTTTTTTAATTGACAACATATTGAAAAAAATATATATAAAAACATTTAAAATAAACCAGGAGATTCAGAGTAGGTTTTTTTTTATATTAAAACATATACGTATTATTATCATATTTTAAGTTTAATCGTTATATATATAGTATTTATGTTAAGTTCAAATTAAATAAACAATAATTTACTTGGTGCTCAATAATTAACAGGGTACTTTTATGGAAGTCGTCTATGGTTTAGTTAAAAATACAATTCCACTTCATAAATGTATTCATATTTGTTATACGTTATTTATATATTTATTGGTGAATTATAAAAGTTAAATTATTTAGATTACCTTTATTTATAATTTTGTAAAAAAAAAATATTATACAATTTTTTATTTTAATTTATTTATCAATTTTAGTTTACGTGTATATATCTAAATACTGAATGATAACAATCAAAACTAGATAATTTTGTTATTATTTAATTTTTATCATAATTATCATTATTATGTAGTCATGAAATAGGCCAGTTCTTCATTGTAATGGTTGAAGTTTTATTTTTTAGAAATTTAGCAAATTTTATAATCTAGTTAAACCAAAATTGTTTGCAACGTAAAAATGAAATTCTGTTTATTCAAATTATATTCTTTCGCGCGGCGTTTTGTATAGGCAAAACATGTACATTCGTGTAACCAAATAACTAATTTTATGAGAATATAAACTGTTTTTATCCGATTTATAATATCCGTTGGCATTTTTACTTAGTAGTTAAATTTTTGTAAATATTTTATTGTTTATGTTTATTTTGTGTAACACAAAAATATTTTGCTCAACAATTTGAGGGGTGAACAGAATGAAAATGGAATATTTTATTTACTTTTTAAACTTGTACTTGTAATAACTTAAATGTTATTAATTTCTTTAACAATTAGACTAAAAATAAATTAAGTCACATAATTTATCAATAATCAGTAATTTAGTATAATTTAAACGATTCACTTTTAAAAAAATAAGTAAAAGATATAAAAAGAAATTAAATTAACTTTTTTTTTTCGTGTTTGAACCGAGAGCCAAGCGAGATCTATTTACCACAATGCAAGTAAAGAAATTAACTTATAATAAATATATTAAAAATATAAATTTTGTACGCTTCTAAACCAAAAATATATTTTTATATATACTTGGCTTGTAAACTGTTAAATTTTATAAAATATTTCTATTTAGACCACAAATTAAATTAAATTTATTCCATATTTAGAATATTATTTTTATGATGCATCTAATCCATTTTTACTCTGAGCCTCACATTTTGTAATATAATATTTATGGTATAATTTTTACTGAATTAATTTATATACATACCTATATATTAAAGTTTTTTGATATATAAATATCTTGTTATAAAACTAAAACTGTTTGTATTTTGTAAATAAATTTTAAACAGTACTAAAATTTAATTTTACATTACTCTGCCCTAATTCCAAAATAATTTACAGTCCAAACTATGTATACTATCATTATTTAATATGGTAATAAATATAAGATCTATTTCTATAGTTTTTAAATTTAAACTATAAAATCAAAGAAAATTTTATCTTAAATTTTAAAAATATTATTGACCACTTTAAATATATTTATAATTTATTTATAGACAAACAAGTAATTTAACACTAGATTAATAAAACAATATGTTATATAATCCAATATTAAAGATTCCCAAATAACTGGCGGTTTTTAATTATTTAGAAAATCAGCAAGAATAATTTTTGCATTGAATAACTAGATTGTATATCATATACATTAACTGTAACTTTCATTATTTATTTACTAATTTATTTATAATTCAATATAAAAAAGAATATTTATTACTTAAAAAACTTCCTAAACCATTATATTAATAAATATTAATTAATACATATTAATAAACAAGTCCATTAGTAAAAATACAAGTATTCATATCTATATTTATTTATTATTTTACTAATACAAAACAAAATAATGTACATAAATATTGAAAAAATATTTAATGAAGAGAATTCACAAACTAAAGCTCAATAAAAATAAATTAATAAAATTGAATTTTAAATAACAGCCTATTAGTAAAATCACCAGAATGCTTTAATGGCTTTGAAAATAAAACTACTAAACATTGAATGGCAAATGCAAATATTTAATTATAAGTTTTTATCATATATTTATATATAAATATATATATGTCCAAATATTGCATCCAGGGTGAAATTTCAAAATGTACCTATATGAATTTTTAATTTAAAAATACTATAATTATTAGATATTATTTTCAACAATTAATAAAAACGATGTTGAAGTTTTTGTAAATAAAATATACAACATTGATCAATATATTTTTAAAATATCATTTATCGTTTTTGCTCCCTTCCATGAATTGCGCCCAAAGTGTAGGCAACCAGTCACTTTTGATACAACTCAGTATATATGATATACTACTGTACAATGGAATCATAAGTCATCAAGACATTAAGTTAATTATATATTTATTACATTTTTTAAAAATTATTTACAACTAAAAACTATCTAATATTAAAGTATACATTTAATTCAGCACTATTTTTCAAATCAGTCAATATGTTCCAAAAACTTAGATTTTAAAATGAAATTTATTTATAAGCTAATTCAATAAATAACAACATTTTTTCATCAAAAGGGCTAAATGATAACAATGAAAAAATAATTCTGAATACTTTGTGCAGTAACTTTGTACTTACATTTTAATCTAAATATTTTAACTATGACAATGATTATGATGAAAATAAGTAATTATTTATCAAAATATTTTTGACTCATAAATGAGACTAGATATAAATAGACTATTAGGAAAATTAAAAGAAAAACATATACCAACCAACTTTCTTTTGCTAAATTATTCAACATCATGCATAAAATCTATTACTTTAAATAATAAAATATTGTGTTAATATTTAAATTAATTATAATACAATGATAAAATTATAAGCTAAGAGACCTTTAAGATATAAATTATTACTATAGAAACAAATTTGTATTAGAATTTATACATAGATAGGTATACAGTATACAGTATACATAAAACTTTTATTCAGTATTATTAACAGCTAAAAACCTTTTACAAAATTGTTAAATAAGCTATAATGAAAAAAAAAAAATACACATATTATAATCAAAAATTGTAAAAATCTTGACAAAAATGAAATTAATAACATTTTAACAAAAATGTTTTTATCCTACAGTTTATAACCAAGAATCAATAGAATTATAAAATTTTCAATTAAAAGCAAACTTTTGCTTTAGTATATTGTTAATGGTATTAAAATATAAAATAATAATTGGGAAAATGATTTAATATATTTATAATTTCTATTACAATAATAATTTAAATGTTTTGACTAATTTTTTTTATCAAAAATCATTAAATTTTCATTTGGACGAGAATTTCTATGATATTAAAAAAACAAAAAGTTCAAAAATTGCTTTAAGAATAAATTATTGTAAAAATAAAATAATTTCTAAATAATTTTTCAATTCTATCTTCACGTGACCTAAACTTGTTAAAAAATCAAACAGAATGTACATAAAAACAATCTATACTTCTATGAATTTTCTCCCACAAATCTCATTTAACTAAGGTAATAAAAAATATTACTAAGATAAAAATTATAGTAAACAGACTTTAAATTATAACAAAAATAATACAACCTAAAAAAATTTGTACAAAAGAATTAAAGAATTAAATTTGGAATTGGTAATCCAATAATTTTACCAAAAAAAATTCAGATAAGAATAATAAAATAAAAATCATACTTAACATATCATATAATATTGATCTACATAGAATAATCAATATTTTTTGTTACTTTTTTGCCAACGAATACTAAAATACATATGTTCAGGTAAAAGTACATTTGATTGTTGATACTTTTTATGGTAATCATATGTGCTGTGAATACTAAATTGAATAAAAATTTATTAAACAAATAGTTTAATTTTATAAGAATTTAAAACTATTACCAAAATAGAACTTGAATATATACCCCATATCCTGCAAATACATGCCACCAACTATGCATTTGAGTAAATGGTCGAAAGAACACTGGGATTTGTTCTCTCAAGATTCTATAATCAAATAAAAAATAAAGATTAGATTTTAAATGTTTACATAAAAACTATAATAATTTTAAGTAATAAAATTATAAAATCTAATAAAATCATTAAACAATATCAAAAAGAAAATAAGATTCAGTAACTTACAAGCAAAAAGTTCATGATTTATATATATGTATAATAGGGTGTCCTACTATGTTTTGGTAAAACATCGATAGTCACCCTAATTATATCATAACTTAAAAGATACTCACGTAAGGTTCTTGCAAAATATATTATCTATATTCCACAAAAAAAACCCAAATAGATATAATCCTAGTGCAACAATAAACATGTGTTTACAAACACCACATTTGAACTCTAATATTAATTTGATTTCCTGTGCTAAAGATATAGCCACTAGTATACCATAGCAAAAATGTTGCAATAACGGTTGTGGCCAGGTAAGATAAACAATTGCAAAACCAATACTTATTATTATTAATGCTAATAACAATAACTTATTTGGAATATACTTTGATTTCATATCATGTTTTACTATTGATCTGAAAATATATATATATTAAATCATAAATTTTAAATTAAAAATATATTTTAATAAGCTTACAAGCAGTAAATACAATAACATGTTCCCCAAACCATTGGTAATTCATCAAATAACTGCATTTCATATAAAAGTGTCATGTGAAATGCCCAACTGCCAAAACCAACCACTACATAAGATAATTAATTAATAATTAATATAATAGTTAGATGTTATTATTATTTGAACTAAATTTCAAAATTATTTTAATCTTTTACATACCTGTAATGAATAAGTAACATAAAAAAAATCTCTGAGCAAATTTTTGTTTTTTCATATCCCAAATTCCCCATAATGGAAGTAATATCATCATTAAATTACTAATAGTATTCCCTATTGAAAAATTATAAAAAATTTAAATAAGTTATCACAGATTTAATGCATTATACTTACACATTTCAGCAACATAATAGTTCACTTCATAGTTTTTTTCACACCAATCAATTGTAGCAGTAGGCTTACCCCAATATCCTGAATAATTGGAGTCTTGAAAAGCCATTGATATCTATTTTAATGGATTTAAAAGAAAAATGAATATTAATATACAGCGTAAAATATTTTAAATAAGCATATTATTTGATGTTTAATTAGGTATTTAAATTTTTTTTTCTCGCGTCAAGCATCATATATTTAAAATATAATAAACATGTAATTTATACAACAGAACTAAATAAATATCAAATAAGTAAGTAGTAAGACTAACAAAGTAAAATATGAATAATAATAACACACTAATATAATGGTAACGTGTTTGGTAATGTACATTAAATATTAGTTATATTTTTTCTTTAGCCCAGTATAGTGCTGTATTTACTACCTTCCAACCCAGGCGTATATGATCTCTACAAAACTAGGTACTTAAATACTAACCATATACAAAATGTAAACATACAAATTTATATAAAAATAAACAATAAATAAGGTATAACGGTTCTTGAATTTGGCTAATTTTGTTCCCTCCAAAACAAATACTCAAATACCCAAAGAATAATAAAATCCACAATATTTTAAAAATCTATTTTGTCTTATCTGAATTAAATTCTAGTGCTAAATTTGCATTTATTTAAAATAACACCTAAGTAAGATGTATAGATATTAATAAGACCTCAAACCATACTTAATGTTGAAGCATGGTAATTACATTAATTACATTAAGCTAACATTAAGAAAGTAATAAATTGTGATTGCTGATTAAAAATGTTTATATTATGCGCTCCGACATCTATTGAAAAATATTGATGTTGGTTGAAAACTATAAAATTGGATTCCTCAATAGATAAAACAAGTTCAAGGCATCAACATACTAAATTGTTTATGTTATTTAGTATTTTATCATAAAAATAGTTAAGTTATAATCCATAATATATATAAACATATATATAAATAAATATTTCTAAGTATATATGTATTTAAAAAAATATATATTAATTATTAAAGCTATTCTGAATATTTATTTTATTAATGACACTCATTATTCTTACTTAAACTAATGTACCTATATTATGGCTCATAATAAATCTAATATGGCTCTAGTTTATATTAATAAAATTATAATATCTTTATCTTTTTAAACTAAGAATTATAATACTTAAATTAATAAATACTTTCAGTTTAATTGTTGTCTAGATTTTAAAATACTTAATATAAAATTAGTTTATATTTTTAAAATATTTTATAACTAACTGTTCATAATTTAAATAATTGTGTTAGCCATAACATTTATTTATTTGAATTCATTAATAAAATGATAAAAATGTAATTAAAATTATAAATTAGTTAATACTTATAAATTATTATATAAATAAATAAACAAAGAGTTTATAAAAAAAAAAATAATTAAATAAATACAAAAATAAATAAATGCTAAGCCTGAAGTATTATTATAATTGTAAAGTATTACTAAGTTTGAATTAAAAATTCATCGCCAGGTACATACAAAGTCAATAATACTGGGACTCACTCGTTAATTACAGAATTTTTTTCTTAGTATTAAAATTAATGAAATATAAATAATATTACAAAATTATTAACTGTCTCAAAAATATATCTATATTTAAAATTAAAATGATAGGAATATTATATTGCTTATATTTTTAGGAGAAATTAAACATAAAAGCAAACAATTCAATGTTAAAAATAATTATGATAAAAAATAATAATTAATACATAAAATAACTTTTAATAGTAATCTTAAACCATTAAATTATTGACTTGAAATAAATATTTATATATACTTTACACAATAAATGATAACTTAAAATTTCATTAATGATTAAGTAAAGAAAACCATGTTTTAAAATTGAAATCTATATAGTAATATTATATACCTATAACAGTATAACAAAAACTAGTTACAAAAATGTTTGATTGTTTTTAATGTTTATAAGAAATAACATTAGTATACAAGGCATCATGATATTATTCAATATTCATACAGTAGTATTTACTAACCACTCCTTTAGTTTCTTACAAATAATTAATATTTTAAAAGCAGACAAATATAATAAATATTTAAAAAGTATAATTAAAATTATTTTAAAAATAATAAATAATAATTTCAATATGTGAATAGTTAGTTTTTAACTCAATAAATTTTTCTAATAATAATAAACTTTAACAAAATAAGTTTTGAACATTAATTTATTTTTTTTTTTTATAAAAATGATAAAAACTTTTCTTCATCTGTGGCTTTAATTCAAGTGGTTCCTTAAGAAACTAGAAAAGGATAACTACATCTATATAAATGTCCAAGAATTTGTTTAATTTAATCCCATTACATGCCCATAGTGATATTTTAAATATCTAGATAAACATTTAACATTGATAATGTATACTTAATGAAACAATAATCCTTATATTTGACATCTGTTAAAAAACTATAATAAAACTATTTTTTTATTAAAAATGTTTTTTTTTTATTAAAAACATAAGCTTAAATAATTAATATGTTAATGAATTAAAATTATTTACTTATTATTGAACTCGATTATTATAGTAAATTTGAAAATTAACACAATGTAGCTATTATATCTATTATTCTATAAATACCTAAGTTTTATAGTTATAATGAAACAATGTAACAAACTAACACACGCTGAAGTATTTTTGAACGAAAAGGAAGAATTATTAAGTACATGGTTTATTAAATAGTTACGAAGATATAATAAATTATGATAAAATTATTACCTAGGAATGTGGCAACCGGCCAGGTATAAAAGTGTGAAATAAATGTTAATTTCAATCCGAAAATGCACCTCTATTCTCTACAACAGTGAATAACCAATAGGACATGACTGCGGTTGTGTTGCAGTGCGAGTAAACGAAATGGGTGAATTCATTAAAAAAATAACTAATTGGAATTGGTACAATTTGAATTCTCTGGGGAAATAAAATCAGAAGAAAAAAGTTAAGGGACAGCGGATACCGGCCGGAGCGAAGAAACAAGATCAGCCGGGGACTAGTAGCAAGCACCACTAACCGACGCCGACTGCCCACAACGCACGACCACGGGCTGCGTAATGGCAACTTTGCTGAATTACTACCCGACACCCGACAATTATACCGCAGCACGATCAGCCGCAACCGCTATTCACATCGCAACGACGTCGACAGTTTGACACCGCCGTCCACCACACACGACCATCAGCGGTTTGATATTTTTTTGTTTTTTTTTTCCCTTTTAAAGAATCTCGATTATGTCATTGACTTGTACAGTGCCGGCAACCTAATACCGAAAACGATTAGTAAGATCACACGCGCAATAATATCGAAATAAGAGGAAAGCCCAACGAGGGATATTGTGGATTTCCAAACGGCCGTGATATGATTTGGTGTCATCTTTAATCGCTAAAGTCGACCGCGTACCTGTGCGTACGAATTACAGAATTACCAAGCCCTGGAGCATCGCTGTCAATTTTGTCCGGGGTGACGGATTTGTTGGTTAATCGAAAGTGGTGGAGGAACGGGTTGTGCAACGCACTCTCACGGAATTGACGTGCGTTCCGACGAGCTCAATTCCGATAACCACATAATGGTAAAAGTTGGCTGCTGGACGTCAATTTATGTGCAAGCTTCTATCGTTTACATTGCCTAGTCACAAATCCCTCAGACGACCGTCGAAAAATGGCCGTCACCTTCCACGTATGAGCATCAGCTTGTGAGACGTTTTCACATGTTGGTCGCATTGCAGTTAGCATAAACGATAGTGCACATTGCAACGAAAAATCCATCTTGTCCTCGCGCACCACATTTCAAATGCTTGTACTGATATTAGCACCATAATATTTTTCGAACATTTGTAAGGCATGACTATCATAGTATTTCTTATTGATACCTCGGCGTCCATGTGCCAACGGACTTACATGGGTGGAAGACCGACACTTTTGGACATTGCTAAAGGGGCTGTTGAGTCCTTTGTCAAGGTTTGCTGTTGCTTTCCATCTATTTTCATTAGTTCACTTATTTTTGCGTTTTCCCAATAGGTAAGACAGCGGTCTTCAGAGAGCCGGGGTGATAGATATATGTTATTGACTTTTGAAGAGCCACCAGCCAATATTAAGGTAAATATTAATATAGTAGCTAAAGATCAGTAAAAAAATTAATTTCTAATTAATGTTGATTTTTAAATTAAATTATTTTGGATTTTTTTTTTTATTAATGACTACTGGATTCAATATATTTGTTATTAAACTATAATAAATAATATACAAATAAAGTATCCTTTTTTAAATGTACCATGTTTAATACATTATGATTATATAAATAGTATAATTATTTTTAACATTTAAATTTTATACTTCATTTGTATTTTATTGATATTAATAATAATTATTATTTAATTAATTTTTTAATTTTGAATAATGAATCCTTTATTTACTTTTTAGGCTGGTTGGAAAGAAAACATTGGTGCATTTATGAATCAATTGAAAAATTTACGCTGTGCTGAAATGACTACCTTAGGATTAGCACTAAAAAATGTATTTGATATACTTAATATAAATCGAATGCAAAGTGGTATAGACACTTATGGCCAGGGTCGTTCACCATTTTTTTTGGAACCATGTATCATAGTAGTAATAACAGATGGAGGACGGTTATCAAATTCATCCACAGTAGTTGATGAATTTAATCTCCCCATGACAAATCCTATACCTGGATGGGAGATGACTAGAGAACCATTTCGTTGGGACCAGAGGTTGTTTTCCCTAGTATTACGTATGTCTGGCACGCCAACTGTAGATCGTGATACTGGACTAGTTGCCAATGATACATCACCTATTGATGCTATGTGTGAAGTTACTGGAGGTACTAATTATTCTTCATTTTTAATTAACTTATAACTTATCATATTGATATAATATTTTTGTATTTTCTTTAACATTTTTAATTTGTTATGAGTACTTATTTTCCTTAAATGATAAATTAAATTCAAATTTTTATCATAATTAAATAATCAATTTTGATTTACAAACATTTATATAGTATAATTTAATTATAAATTTATATATACATATTTTGTTAAATTGAATTTTTGTGTTAGGTAGATCATATTGTATAACTTCACAAAGAGTATTAATGCAATGCATTGATAGTTTAGTGCAAAAAATTCAAAGTGGTGTGGTAATAAACTTTGAAAAAATTGGTCCAGAACCTTTACCAATTGCAGACAAGGAAAATAGTATGGACATTGATTTAGGTTATGAAGAATTTGGAAAAATTGGTTTTAGTGGTACAGATCATTTGAATCATCAAAATGGGGTAAGATTCAATAAATTATTATTTAAAATGTTTTATTAACTAAAGATATTTATCTAGAATAAAATTAATGGTGTTCCAAATATTGTTCAGCCACTTTCTAATGCTTGGCATAATTGTCGAAAACTTATTCATGTTCCAAAATCTGCCCAAAAAGGATTTCCTATGGGTTTTTGGCCTATACCTGAATCATACTGGCCTGAAAATACAATGAACTCTTTGGTATTTTTTAAAAAATTCTTTTTTTTTTTTTTTGTATTTATTTTTATATAATTATTTTTATGAAATAGCCACCAAGATGTGCTCACCCAACAGTTAAATTTTCTTGTGTAAACCAAGAACCTATGGTAATTGAAAGTTTACCTTTTGATAAATATGAATTGGAACCGTGTCCACTTACACAATTTATACTGTCAAGAAAACAGCCAACTCTTTGTTGGCAGGTAATCAATAGTTATTTAATATAAAACTATTCTCAATTTATTAATTAATATTTTTATATTCTAGGTTTTTGTTGCTAACAGTTTTAAAACTCCAGAAGTGATGCATCCATTTGGTTACTTAAAAGCTAGTACAACATTATCCTGTGTTAATCTATTTGTATTACCTTATAATTACCCATTACTTTTACCTATTCTCGATGAATTGATAAAAGTACATAGATTAAAACAAACTCCTGAATGGCGGGCTCAATTTCAAGCTTATTTACGAAGCACACCAGGATATTATAATGCTGTAAACATTTATGCTTATTTTTTTGTTATTATAATTTTTACAATAAATTCAATTTTTAGCCTCTAAGGAGAGCCTTAACAAGAATGGGTGTGCCCAGTACTGTAGTGACTTCTTTGGTGCCTGACACTGCAGACAATGCTTCTTTAAGCTACTCTGTTCTAAGTTATTTAAAACGTCTTAAAACACAAGCAAAAACAGAATATGATAGGTATTTGAGTAATTAAGAAATAAATTTGATTCCTTGAATTATAAATATAAAATAATGTTTTAGGTTATGTACTGAAGTGACTAACAAACAAACAGCTAAAACAAATTTAAATTTAGCTGATTACATTCGTACCAATCATATATCATCGCTCAAAAAAGATATGTCCACTAATCCTCAGTTGCAAAGTAATAAAATATATTTTTATTTCATTTAGTATTATTTATTATGTGTTAATAAATATTTATATGTATTAATTTCAGATAAATTTATTCATTTACGAGAACAATTAAATGATTTCAATAACTTTGTAGTAGGTACTGCTAAAAGAAAAAATGTTGAATGTAATAGAACTGGCGGTTCTGGTTTTCATAATCCTTTTGATATATCACGTAGTAAACTTTTAGAAGTAGTTAAAAACATGCAAACTAGTTTTTGTCATCTTACTCCAACCAGATATTTTGAAGATGGTAAGACTTTATAAAATTAACATGTTCATTTTAATATTCATTTAATAATTTTATCTTTAGATTTAGTGCATTGTATGCCTGTAAGTCAGATGGGTAATTATCAAGAATATTTAAAACGTATGACATCACCACTTCGAGAAGTAGAATCAATGCCCGTGAGACAACACATGTTTGGAAATCCTTTCAAAATTGATAAAGTTAGTAATTCAGTTTTTTATTTTTGTATAATTTAACGTATTGCCTTTATTTGTATTTTATATAGAGAATGATGGTAGATGAAGCAGATGTTGACTTGGTTGGAGCAGGAAGTGGATCCTCTAGTCCTAGAGCTGGATCTAAAAGAGCTTTAGATAGTGGTCCTACAAGAAGAAAACCTGGACCTTTACCACGACATGTATGTGCATCTCCTCGACCTAGATCACCATCACCTGCACCTATCATTCCTATTAATTCTTTAGTAGAAACTCCGCCTATACTTTTACCCAATGGAGGGGAAACAGGTTTGACTCAAATATTAATGACTATTATTATTCCAGAAATAAGATAACTAACTTTTATCTCATGTAAGAATGTGTTTGGTAAAATCTTCCATCAATATGTCATCCTCTATAAATCCTCCTATGTGTTGATACACAGACTCTCCTTTACCTATTGATAATTTTACTGTTGTAGGAACTATTTCTTGTTATAAAGAAAAACCAGTAAAAATGCTTTCTTTCATGAGATTATACAGAAAAAATATTATTATTAAATTTGTTTATATATAATTATATTATTATTAGATGAAGAAACTCCACTTCCGGTAAATGGAGATTGTTACCCTAGGGTTATGTGCCCATCACCTCCTCCACCAATACTTGAACCATATGAAAACCATTTTAATGATGAAACTGATGAAGATGAAATTATGCCGAATGATATATGTAACCATATCCCAGTGATTCAAGAAGGAAATGGTGTTCGTCAACACCTATTAACAATTACTACTAATGTGGACCAAGACATGAATGAACTGTCAAAACAAGAGTTGTTAGACATTAAACAACACAATGCAAAAGTTAGGAAACTTTTATTCATTGAAGTTAAACGTCCAGGCCAAAGTAAGTATACTTCATATTTCATTGGGGCGTCATTCGCCTTCTGAAAAATTGTGAGTAACCTAAAATGTATAAAAATAAAATATGTATTTAATTCTTTACTAATAAAACAATGTTTTTTTGCTTTTTTTTTAAAAAATATTTTTTCAGATTATACAGCACTATTCCATTGTTTGGGTACATTAAAAGGTCCAGCATCTATCCAATTGACTTATGTTAATGACATTATTGCTGAAGCGCTTAGGTTTAAGAGAAAAAGATTAGTAAACAAATTGGAGGAGTTTAGAAAATCATATATGCAAATTCCAGCTGCGGCCAGATGATTTAAAAAAAAAAAAAAAATTATATAAAAATCAATTGGCCTTATTCTTATTAATTATTTTTCCAATTATTTAATGTTTTTATGAAATTATAGAACATCAACATGCAAAAAAATATCATACAAATAAATTTTTGTATTGAAGAAAAACTCTAGGTGTGTTTATATGATGGGATAAGATAAACATTATTCAGTTCCTTTTCAAAATGAAATATCTTTGTCTTCTACTATTCCATAAAGCAATTATTATTTTGTAAAATGATAAATACTATTTGAGGATAATTTTTCCATACCTATTAATGAATGTTCTTTTCAATTTAATCATTATCAATATAATTATAGATTTTTTTTTCTTGCTATTTATTAAATCATTATAATAATTAGACATTTGGTTTCCAATAAAATGTATTCATTTATCTCTTCAGATAATTGAATATTAACAGAAATGAGTAAAATGAATATTGTTTTATAAAAGAATACTAACATTATAGCAAGTAAGTGTTATTGATAAAAACTATTTATTTAAATTACCTTACTTAAACTTTTAATTGATAAACAATGTAGGCTGTTTAATTTAAAAATTAAATTTCATTTATTTGAGCATGATTGTTGAGAGAACACCTGCACACCTGCATCTGTTATCATCGTTTTACACACGAGCAAATTTACATTCAATGGAACTGGTTTTTTGTTATTAGCTTTAATATTAAAGTAAACTGACCTATTATCCAACTTAAAGAGAAAAACATTGTCATTGAAATTATATAAGTTTTTACTATATTTTAATTATTGAGCAAGTTACTATTATGTAAAATATATCAATTTTAAAAAAACTAATAATTTGCTTAAAAATAAATATATCGTAAGAAAAATACTATCTTCATAAAGAAAATGTTTATCTCACAATTTTGTAATAAGTCCGTATACTTTAATATGAAAACTAATAGTACAAAATTAGTTCCACTGAATGCAGATTTGCTATGTTGTATGTTTGTAAGAAGACAAAACATAAGGGTCTGGCTTCAATTATTACAAAACAAAATAATTTATATTTAATATCATAAAACAAATATATTTTAATGTATCTTATTCATCAAAAGCTATCTTAGCCTATGTATTGTGAATATATTAATTATAAAATATTGCCTACTTAAGATTAATTATTTATGGTCTTAAAAATGAATATATGTAATATGTATTTAGGCAATATTTGTATTTTACTGTATTTAAAGAATTTATTTTGTCCTTAAAATATCTAATATTTTATTTAATTTAGTTATATTAATTATTTGATTAAATAATTCTTGTTAATGGACTAATAACCTGGTCCTTTGGAGTGATAGGTTTTAAAAATAATTTTATATACTTCTGTTTAACATAATAGTCTAATAGAGTTAGTACTGTACGTTTATTCTCTGACAAGATATAATAGAAATTAAACATTAATAATATTCTATAGCTGAAATTTTAGCATGGGTGTAAAATATAGGAAAGTTCTGTCGGACGTTTTATGTGATTAGAGAATTCCATTGAGGCTGAAAGGTAAATTTTACAGGGTTGTAATGAGACCGACTATGTTATATGGCTCAGACTGTTGGGTAGTTGGCAGGAGAATAGAACAGAGTATGAGTGTTGCAGAAATAAAAATACTTAAATGAATGAGTGGAGTGTAAAGAGAAGATGGAATAAGGAATGAGTATGTGGAAGGTAGTATTAGTGTAGTGTCTATAGTGAACAAGACGCAGATTAATTTGTTTAAAGATAATGAAAGGTGGGGTTCATTAGTAATATGTATATTAGAGCGTGATACATAACTAGACGAAGAAAACAGAATTAAGAAGTGGGACGTAGTGGAACTTTTAGTTTTATTAGTTGAAAGAATTAATGGCAATCAATTTGGTTTAATAAAAATGTAGTAATGAAAGATTAATTTAATGTTTTTTCGGTCAGTAAGGCTAGTTGAATTTAAATTTAAATTTCTCTAGATGGGCTGATTATCATGTGGAAGACAAGGAACCTTCAGTAAAAAATTTCAAGAATCTACGCTAAGCCAATTTTATAGATTATGAGACCGGATTTAATAAATATTGCGACTTTTTATTAATACTAGGTTGATCAAATATATACAAATCAGATTAGTTACAGTTTTCTTATTTAATTTAATAATACAATATTTCTCAATTTTCAACGATTTTGCTATAAAAATATAACAACGTTATTTTTTAAATTTAGTTAGTATTTTTAAAATTATATTTATCTGAGATCCATAAAACACAAGTTTAGAAAAATCAAATAGCCAATTACTTAAAAGTTTAAACATATTCATTATTAATTTTGTTAAATATTCTCGGTCCAATGGGAAATTAGTTATAGATAAATTAAAATATGTCTTAGAAAAAAATGAAAAATATAAAACTTACTCTAAGGTTATGTCAAGAAATCAAAGTTGGTAATTAGATATAATACCAAATTATTTTAAATATGCACCGATAACAAGTGTAGACCAGGCGCGGATATAAAAGAGGGGTTCATGGGATCGATGCCCCCCCCCAAATATCACGAAACCAAACTAAAATAAATTGTAATAAATTACAGTACTCGACTTGCAAAATTAAAGAAGGGGGTCTTTATTTACTTAAAAAAAAAAAAGAGCGTCCCCAAAACTTGTTAAGCATTATAATTATAACATAATAATAATAAGGGGACGCAAACTTCTGAAAATTAGTTAGGGTACTCCGTTCCCCCTTAAATCCAGCACTGTATGTGAAGCAATGATAAAAATTATATTTTTGCTGTAGCAACCAGTGGCGTAGCGAACATTAAACCATATGGAAGCGAACAAATTATTTATGACCTACCCCACCCACCCTTCTCCAACTGATGTATACGATACTCGTATAGTTATATGCTCAAATAGGGGGTGGGGTAGCACCCAAAATAAAGTTGTATCCCCTCTCAAAAAAAAAATATATCAAAAAAATTTTAGAAGTCAAAAAGTCACAGGAACGGACAATAATAAAAATGCGCAGGTTAGAAGCGTAGGCCGTTATATTAAACTACAGAGTGCAGAAGCCGTCTATCGAGACGTCGAGTGTCGATGTGAAAGTGTCGACTATTTCAATAATTTAATACATTCAAAATAATATTTTTCTAAAAATATAAATCTTACATGTACATTAACCACTTATCCACGGGTCAGGTACCACCACCCCCACCCCCCCAAAAAACCAGAAGCAATTGCTTCTGAAAAACATGATTCGCTACGCCACTGGTAGCAACTACCTATATATTGACATGTTTTCAAACACCAAGAGAAAATTAGATTTCTCTCTATAATTTAATTTCGTATTTAATATTTTTTTTTTTTTTTATGTTCTTAAATAAAAAGTTTTCTTCGATGTACCTACTTATTTTTTTTAAAATTTTTTAATTGAAAATTTATTCCTTTACAATGTTAAGAAATATTTATGGTAAACGGTAATACTTATAATATTTTAGAATTATTGAATTTTATATATATATTATGTCCACAATATAAAATACCATAATTACTCTGAATCCGCGTCTGGTGTAGACATTGAACGTACTTTTTCATTATATTTTTTTTTTTTATTACATGCCCTGAGGCTTTGTTATTGAAACGACCCAAAAGTCTTTATACATATGTTTGACAATTATACATATTTTACGTACTAGATATAAATTATATATATATTACACGTTGATGGAGTTACTTCCAATGAAGTGTCTCCTGCCTTAATCTAAGATCTTAAACTAAGTCGTATGATTTAAGACGTCTGATCAGGGTATATTGTAAGGTGCTGTTGAGCATTGATTGCGATATCGAGAACATTTTTTGCTATTTTGGAAGTACATTTTTATGTTGTTGGTAATGTTATAATGATAATATTACGGGTGAGAAGGTTGGTGAACTCAGTCGTGTAGCTATTTCAAAAGGGGGGTGTTGTTTAAAATTACACACAACAAAATAAATACTTGACGTATACTTTATTGTACAAGAATATAAATACATTAGTACATTACACATGAATATCTATTCATGTATAATGTACTATTGTATAAGAAAATATTTAAATATTTTATCATATTAAAATGCACATGGATCTATTTTAAATCGCGCATGATACGATGTAAAACCACGGCTTTGATTTATTAGGCAAAACGATGTAATGAGAAGCCGGACCCCGGCTTTACATTATTGTTATGTATATATTTCGTTACGATAAATATGTTTTCATTAAGGTTTATTATCAATTTTTACCTTTATTAGACTTCAGTATAACGTTAACGTGGTCAAGGGGGGGTGTTACTACACCTGTAACCCATGGCTACGAGCCTGGGTAAAATGGTTTGAAAATTATATTTTTGAAAAACCACCGATATCATAATTTTGTGGAAATTACGCGTATTTTAGTGAAGTGATTTTCAAATTTTTAATATTACCTGTTAAATTATTTTACCAGTCATATGTATTATTTTAAAGATATAACTGGTAAAAAAATAATAAAAATAATAATAATAATACTAAATCAAACAAGTATAATTAAGGAAACAATTAATAAACTACGTTTATGTTTGGCGTAGGCAAGTACTTGTAAGGTAATCGACTTCCGAAAAATAATCTTTAAAATAATACAGTAAAACCTCGATAAGACGGTATAACGGAACATTATTTTGGTCCCGTTCCAAATGACATACAATTAATTAACCCCGTCAAGACGAAAACCCCGTTAACACGGAAAAATATCATGGTCCCGATCGATTTCGTCTTATCGAGGTTTTACTGTACATTATTTTTCGGAAGTCGATTACCTTATTAGTACTTGCCTACGCCGAACATAAACGTAGTTTCTTAATTGTTTCCTTAATTATACTTGTTTGATTTAGTATTATGTATATTGTATATAATACACTATTTATATGCGTTATGAATATAACATTATAATAGGTATGCGAGCCTTGGTTTGTTTGGATTCAGTTCCAATAATTCCACCAATAATTATTTTACAAATCGTCGGCTTTCTATTTATTGTATTGGTAAAATGTATTCATATT